GGAAATAGATTTGACCCACACAAAAGGAAGTAAATTTGCAGAAGTGATAAAGGGAGGTCCTAGGACAATAGCTATACATTAAGTGTAGACAACAAGTCCAGGTTGTTAGGACAAAGCGCTCCAGGGGGAAAAGTTAAGGCTGATAGCATCTGACAGGGTTGACTTTGTAAAAATTATATTGAGAGATATTTAACAAAGCTATTGGATGGTGTGGGAAGACTTAAACCATAGTTTCAAAGAAAGCTAACCAAATGGGAAAATAGTAAGGCAATTTTTAACTCCAGGAAAACCAAAAATTTGGACAATAAAGGAAAAGAAATCATAGGGCACAACTCGGCTGAAGAACACGCACAGTGTGTGGTCAAAATAATAAAAACATTGAATATGAATTTAACAAAATATGATTTAACTATATTGGTAGAATGGGGGAGAAAAGAGGTGTATACTAAAGTAAAATCATTCTAACATAATAGATGATGTCTGAAATGGATGATTCTAGGATATATATGAGTCTTTTTTTTAATGTAGAAATAAATACTAGAAGTAATAATTAAAAAATTTGAAAGTGGTTACCTTTAGGGAGGAGGTGGACAGGACTGTATAACTCTGGACAGGCAGTAAGGGGCATGGTATGTGGGGTCCAGATAGGGGACTACTATTTTTAATTATAAGCCTTGTAACATGATTTGATTTTTTTTTTAAACTCTATATTTTATTTTTATAAAACTCTTTGAAATCATAATTTTTAAAACTCAATTTTAAGTTTTATTTTTTTGCTTCACACTGTTCTGGTGTCCTATATCTTTCTCTTACTTGAATCTAATGTTTGTTTTATGGGAGAACAATTTCTAGTAATTATTTTTTCAAATATGGCCTATGGATGAAAAGGCCATTTAACCTTTTATCTTCCAAGATTTACTGAGGTATAATTTTTATACAGTAAAATTCACCCTCATAGCAAAACTCACAGAAATTCACCCTCATATTTCTATGAGTTTTGAGAAGCTTACACAGTCCTGTAACCACCACGTCAAATAGTTTCCTTGTTCCTTTCCTGGCAACCACTGATCTGGTTTCTGTTCCTATCATTTTGCCTTTTCCAGATGTCATATAAATGGAATCAAACAGTATATGATCTTTTAAGTCTGGCTTCTTTTACTTATCATAATGCTTTTGAGAGTCATCTGTGGTTTTGCATTCATGGGGACCTTTAAAATCCAAAGGAATAGTTGTCATCTGCCATCAGTGCTGTTCACCAACTATTCCTGGCTCTCTGTTTTCCTATCACATGATCAGCTTGTACTTCCTGGCTCCCCTGTGTGTGAGTACATTTCACTTCTGGGCCAGACCATGTAATTGACAATGTGAGACCTTATTGAGCTCTCTGTTCTGCCTGCCACAGTGATGGGCAAACATTTGCTGTGGTGGCTGCTCTGTTAGCCTGAGCCTTGAAGTGACTTCAACCAGCAGAGCCAACCTGTGATGGACAGGTAGCCAATAGATAGGTAGCTTGAACCAGAAGTACACGTTTGTGGGTTTAAGCCATTGAGATTTGAGCAAGATTCAGCACAGCCTATATTAAAGCATATAGAAGGCTTATATTTTTAGCACTGGGAAATTTTCTTTTATTGCTGCTTTCATTTCTTCTCTCCATTTCTCTCTCTCTCTCTCTCTCTCTCTCTCTCTCTCTCTCTCTCTCACACACACACACACACACACACACACACACACATACACACACACACACTTTTTCTTTCCAGAACTGTTAGGCAGGTGTGGAACTTTTGGATGTATCCTCCGTCACTTAACTTCCCTTTGTCCTTCTAGCCATTTTCTGGGAGAAATTCTCAGATTAATCTTTCAGCTTACTACTGTGTTTTCCAGCCATCTTCATTTTGCTATTCAACTCAGCTTTTTTTTTTAACTCATAATTTTGTATTTATATTTATTTTCCAAGATCTTTACTTGCTTCTTTCCCAGAATTGGTTGCTGCTTATTGTGTGCAGACTCTTCCATATTCCTTCTAGGGCTATTAATTATTTTAATTCTTCTGTTTGTTCTCTTAACTTTTTCTCTTGTTGGTTCTCAGGTAGCTTTCTTCCAGAGTACTGGCTTGCCTTAATTTTTTGCTGGTCTGTAATACTTTGTATTGGGGAATTCCTAGTTGCCTGATGGCTGATTTGATTACAATGGAGTGATTACAATGCTTCTGGTTTTTGGAGAAGAGACGGCTGTCCCTGCTCTTGTGGTGTGTTGGCTTTGGGAGCTCTTTGTCTTTCCTGATAGTTGTCGGCTTCCTGGGGCACTGCCCTACATGTCCTTCTGTGCACTTGTCACTGCCCACTACTCAGTAGGAAGGGAGGTGGGAGCTGTCAGCCTAGATCCTCTGCATTTCCACATTTCCCTTGAACCTCCTTCTAGCCATTGACTGTGAGCTTGGAGCACCCTCCAGGTCTCGCTCTTGGTGGTCCTCTGCTTCCTTCATTTTTTTTTTATAAAGATTTTTATTGGGGAATTGGAGGGATGGGAACAGCGCTGGGGTATTGGGGGAAGGGGAATAGACAAGTTGCTGTCTTTTTGTTCTTCAGTCTAGTTGTGGAGGACGTTGCTGCACTGGCCCAAGTTGGCACCATCATTGCGCTCTTCCCAGGCGAGGCAGATCAGTCGCCGGCTTCTGGACGGGCCACTCACGCTGGCTGCTGGCTACACACGGTAGCCCATGGCAACCCACTGCCACAGGGGCTGCAGCCTACGCTGTCGGCGACTCATGGCAGCCCAGCTCCAGGTTGAGCTGTTGTTCAGCATCTTAGCTGCAGAGGGCAGTGTCACTGGCCCTCATGTGGGATCCGAACCGGGCCCCTCTGGCATCCCAAGCCAGTTCTTAACCATCACGCCACTCGGCCGGCCCTGCTTCCTTCATTTTTAACTGTGATTTTTCTCAAGTCTTCTTTCTTCTCTAATACAACCATTAGGAGCTTATAGTGAGGATTAAACAAAGCATGTTTGTGCACCGAACATGGCCCTTAGAATGCCAGTTTTTAACATCAACCTTAAGAGGCTATCTCCTTCCAGGAAATTGATGTTTATTTTGTTTTTTTAATCCTCCCTCATGGATGTCATTTATGTTGAGAAACCAAACAGAAATAAAGAGTACACTTCAAAAAAAGGTATACAAGTAATAATTGTTTCTTTTGGAAATTAGAAAATATAGATAAGCATAAAGAAGAAAATAAAAGTCATCCCACCCAGAGATAACCAGATATCGAAGGTGCACTTTGTGACATACACACATAAATACGTGAATTTATTCATGTTTGAAATTGTTATCAAACTACTGATAACTTTTTAAAAGTCGTTTTTCCACCCAACAATATATCATGGACTTCTTTCCATGTCAATAATGATACATTTGCATGATGTAATATGTAGTGTTTCGTTACATTTGGGGCTATAATATATCCAACGAATTCCCTCTTGTTAGACATTATATTGTTTCTGTTCACTCTTTAGAAATGGTGCTACAATCATCATCCTTGTACACATAACCTTAGGGTAAAATTCTAGAGGTGGAATTGCTGTGTCAAATGTGGTTGGGCATTTAAGAGTTTACCAAGGAGAAAAATTTTCAGATAAAGGAAGGCAACTCAAAGGGCGGACTTTCAGATATTTGCAACATGAGTTCAGAATGGTGGTTTTGGGGGTGCGGGGGGGGAGATCTCAAACTCACACTGGAAGCAGCCAGTCCTTTGTGACCTAGCTAGCCCTCCTTGGAGACATCTAGGAAAGGAGTAAGTGCAGCCAATTTGGTGAGCCTTCATCCCTTCCATTCCAGACACCCTACCCTTCAGGAGGAGGGTGGGGAAGGGTATCAGCCTCCGCCCAAATCTGGAAGTGAAACTGACTTCAAAGCAGTGCATTGCAGCCACTGTGGAGGACTCAGGTGGCCCTGCTGGTACTAGGATGAGTGCTCAGGGACCAAGGGCCTCCCTCCCTCACCCTCTTAATACCCTGCCACTCCCACCCTCCCCACACCACCCCCATCTCAGGCTGGCTTTGAGTCCCTGAAACCTTGACAGCTTTCTAGAAGTGTTAACTATTAGGTTGAACCACATGAAACATCTGTTTCTGTAGGTGGAAAGTGGTCGAGTTTGGCATTATCGGGTACCTCTGGTCTGTTTGGTTCAATTCTTTCACTCTGTAGTATATTTATTTAGCGCTCATTCTGTGCTAAGCGCTGTGCTAAGCACTTTGTAGTCATTTTTTAACTGTCACAACTTTCTGAGGCATAGGAATTGTTCCCCACTTGACAGGAAACAAAACTATGGCTCAGAATTTCCCCTTTTGGAATTGTTTAGGGGCCGGTTCGCCCTCCACACTTAAGAACTTAATAAGAACGACAGTATTTTCAGTTGTAGTTAAAGGAGCTGGTGGGCTCTGTCACTTGCTAACTGTGATGCCTCAGGGAAGTGCCTTAATTTGGCAGAGCCAGTTTCCATCTCTGTGGATGTTAAGGTCTCTGTGCAAAGTGTTCTAGATCTGGTTTTCCCGTTAGAAGACTCCCTTTGGTATTCAACGACTCAGTCTTCTCATCAATAAAATGGGGACAACAACCACAGCACCCAGCAGCATCAGGGATGAGCTGTGAGGGTACAGTTCTGGGCCCTGCAGGAGAAAGCCGGGCTTGGGAGGAGGAAGGAGCCCCACCCCCACTCACCACGTGGAGGGCCCGCCCCGCCCGTAGCCAGGCTGTAGAGCGATTCCCCGGAGCGCCGAGAGGGGTCAGCACGGCCTTCTTGGCCGACGCCTATCCTAGGCCACCCACACTGGCGAGTGGCACAATCTGGCCACCTCGTCCCAATGCACCCGGGCTGCCCGGAGGGGAGGGGGCAGATAGGGGCGGGGCTTGGGGGCGTGGCCTCCGGCTCCCTCTTGTTTTTTTCTTTTTGTCCGCCTAGATACGGAAGGACTCCCCTGCGCCTTTAAGAGGCCGATGCGGGCAGCCGATTGGCTGAGGCGAGCCGGTGTCGTCACGCCGGGGCCGGCGCCCAGGCCGCCCCGTCAGCCCGCGCCCTCCCCCTCCCGCCCCGCCGCGCGCTCGCGGGCAGTCCCCGCGCGGGCCGGCCCGGTGTCCCCTCAGCCTCGCTCGCCCGTGTCGCGCCGGACCCCGGGGGATGCCCCCGGCCGGGTCCCTCCATGGCCGCCGACGTCTTCATGTACTCCCCTCGCCGGCCCAGCAGCCGGGGCCGCCCGGTGCTGCTCAAGCCCCCGGTGCCTGAGGACGACGACGACTCCGACACGGATGAGCCGTCCCCACCGCCCGCCTCCGGCGCGTCCACCCCGGCCCGGGCCCACGCGAGTGCCGCGCCGCCTCCGTCCCGGGCCGGACCGGGCCGCGAAGAGCCTCCGCGCCGCCAGCAGATCATTCACAGCGGCCACTTCATGGTGTCGTCGCCGCACCGCGAGCACCCGCCCAAGAAGGGCTACGATTTCGACACGGTCAACAAGCAGACCTGCCAGACCTACAGCTTCGGCAAGACCAGCTCCTGCCACCTGTCCATCGACGCCTCGCTCACCAAACTCTTCGAGTGCATGACCCTGGCCTACAGGTAGGGACCCGGCGACCCCCCGGCCGGCCCCACCTGTGCAGCCGGACACCGTGTGACAAAACAAGCGTTGTGGGGCTGGGACCCCGTGACTGAACGCATCCCCTTTGGGCCTTGCCCCCTTTGGGAGGGTCTATGGGTCTGGGGTCCCCAAGGGAAGCGAGAGGGGCTGGGGTCCTGGCCCCGTCCCCTGTCAGCCGTGCTGAGGTTCTTCCGGCTTCACGTTCCCGGTTCAGGCCTTCGCCGTCAGTGTCCCGAGGCCACCGATGTTGGACAAGAAAGAGGTGTAAACATTGGCAGCATCTTGTGTTTACTGGGCGCCAGCCACCCGTCCCCCCAGACGCTTTGTGTTTCCAGCTATATCGAGTCGTGGTTAAGACCACCTGTCCGGGGGTGGCTTAAGCGCTGGTTCCAGCCTTGAAGGGTTGTGTAAAATGTCAGAGCCTGTGTCCTCCTTTATAAAGAGGGGGTGACGGTGGTACCTGCCTCCACTGGCTGTTGTGGGGATGGAAGGAGATAAAAGTGCTTATTCCAGCGTCTGGCTCCTAGTTAGATGCTCCGTAAACGTTGGCTACTTTTCTTGTTGTCCCAGCAGAGGAAGGCTAGGTCTCCTCACATCCCCTTTATTGGGAAGCCCTCCCCCAACTATTGGGAGGGGCCCGGGGTGTCTCCTAGGAAGACTTTTGGAGCCACAGCTGTTGGGAGGTGCAGTCTGTCCTCCTGGCAAGTTGGAGGGTTCTCAGACTGGCCCTGAAACATTATATGGAGATGTCACTGCTTAGGGCAAGCATCCCAGACACCATCCTGACATGTGGATGGCTCTGGGTGGGGGGTCTCTTTTTTAATGTCACAGTAATGCCTGGCCCTCGAGGGGTAAAACGCCTTCCCACTCGTCCTTCCTCAGTGTGTTTGTTAGGTATTTGCTTCAGGTAACTTCTGCTTCAGCAACAGAACTTTTTTGGACTAGCTGCGGTACAGAGCCGTCCAGCCCTGCACAAAGCTCATGATAGGATCTCTGCTGAGTGGGGGTTGTTGCTTCAGGAACTGGGCTGGCTGGGGCTGTCTTAGGTCTAGTCTGCAGGCAGCACAGGAAAGGTTTCCTGGGAGATTGCAGAAACGGTGTAAAGAAGAGTAGGAACCCATCCCTGCCCGTGCTTTTTTTTGTTTGTTTTTTTGAGAGCTATGAACCCAGAATATATCCAAGTTAAAACATTACACATTTACCTGAAGTTAAAACACTAGCTACACGCTCCAGGTGGCATTTTCCTCCTCTGGAATAAATGATTAGTCAACTTGTTCCTTTGTTATGTTCCTGAAATGCCGCCCACCCCCCCATTTCCTCTCATGATGGTTTCCCTGATGGTTTGTTTGCCACTTGGCTGCAGGAGGTTACCCATAGCACGTCCCCACCCCCCCATAGCTGCACGCTGGTCAGCTCTGCGTCTCTGATCTTGCCAGTTGGAGCTGGCACTGAGCCTGTGAAGATGTTCTTTTTTTTTTTTCTTTTTTTTTTAAACAAATGGTATTGAGATTGCAGCCCTCTGCTTTCTTTTAGCCCTGCTTACTCCATCTCAAATTTTTGAGCACTTCCATTGGAACCAAACCCAACTAAACTGTAGCATGTGCTGCAGTGTGAGAGCCCTTTCACGCAAAAGTAGAGGTGAAAGACAGGAATGTGTTTTATTAAGAGAACTTAATCCTCTTCTTTATTTTAATATAAACTTTTCCATGTGCAGGGAGAGAATGGGTGACTGAATAACAGGAGGCATGGGCTAGAAAGCTCTCACCTTAGCTCTGCTGCAGGAAAAATAAGCTAGTCTCCCCTTGGCACTTGGCTTGGATAACCTAGAGGCTTATTATTAAATAACACCAAGGAATTTTAGTAATGGCATCCCTCCCCCCACCACACACACACACACACACACACACACACACACACACACACACTGCTTTCAAAAATATTTTGGCACTGGCCATTGCTCAATTAACTTTCTTGATTGCAAAACTCACCTTCCATTTGGTTGGAGGCTTACCTTGCTCTTGAACACCTCCCGGCCGGCTCTCTTGCTTTACTGCTGCCCTCTGTGCAGAAGCCCTGCCACTGCAGGACTCCAATATCTGCCGAGTAATTTCTCATGAAGATGCACCTTGTCTGTCAGTGGGAGGCCGGTTTGGATGGCCCTGAAGTCGAGCTGGCTGTGTGGAACTTTGGTACAGATTGACAGAGGAATGACTCAAAAACCAGTGGTCTGGGCTGTCACCTCTGGCACAGAAAGCAACACGAGAACAGAAGGGAGTTTCTGATCTCAGCTGTCCTGTCATGACCACTAGCTGGCTTTCAGAGAAGTAGGGTCGAGATAGGGGTCAGTGAGGGAAGAAGGCTTAACCTCAGAGGTGGGCTGACTTCCCTTTCAGTGGGGTCTGAGCCTTCACCACTGTTGCCAGGTATTCTCCTCCTCAGCCGGAGAGGAAAGCCAGCTGGGCCTCCTCGAATGTGTGACTTTCTGGCCTGGGCGCTTTCTAACTTCAGCTTCCTGTCTGTCCCCTGGCCTCTTCGTTCTAGCTGCCTAACTCTCCCTGGTACACTCTGTGCTAATTTTTTTTTGGTTTGGTTTCCTGTTAACTGCTGCCTCCCAGCTGTTTCCAGATGAGGTTCAACAGCTCTTCGGGGGAGGAACTAAGTGCAGGGGAAGTTGTGGTTATTTTTTCCCCAGTCCTGTGAAGTGGCCTAGGGATTCTGAATATGATCCGTTCCTGAACATGCAGAGTCTTGGACTCCTGTAGGGTCTTTGGCAAGACTGACTAGGGCTGGGGAAATAGGGCGTTTGTGGAATCGGGACTGTGTGAGTGCCCAGGGGCCCACCTGGGTAAGTAACAGTGCTGATGGGACTATAGCTTCGTGCTACTGCCTTAAAACCCATGTCCTTCCCACTCTGTGATGCCAAATAGCCTCACTGCAAAACAGCTTGACTTGGTCCTACTACTTGTGCTCAGTGAGAGGGGAAGAAATTGCCTTTCCCCAAGGCAAAATTTAGGTGATAGAAGCCTGCCTTTTCTAAGCCTTTCTGTCTGCCACAGTAAAATAGGGAGGATAAGAGTTCCCTGCAGGGTGAATGTGACGAGGATTACTGAGAGAATGTCTGGGGATGAGTCTAGTACCTGGCAAATAAGAGTCTAGAGGAGGTTTAACAGGCGGAATCCAGCTCTGCGTCCTCATTCAACTCCTTTATTAGGAGCCCGCGTTTCTCATCTGTAAACCCAAAAAAATCACGGATCTGACGGGTGTTTTAGTGGGACTTTCAAAAGTCAGCTTGACAAATACTAAATAGACGCATTCTTGGCAGGCCCGTACTTTCTGAGGCTCCACAATGGAGCTATGTACTCTAGAACGCAGTTCATGGTTCTTGCCCTCTTAGCATTTTAAGGAATGTCACACATGTAATTCCCCCACACAGATTCTGGACACATCTAGCATCTGGCTTTTTGTGGTTGGTTTTGGTTTCACTTTTCTACCTTTCTGTGTAACTCTTTATTAGGGAGCCTTGGTGTGAGTGTGTGTGGCGGGGAGGAGGTGAGGCCGTGAGAGATGGTCTTTTTATGTATTTAGAGAGCAGCGGTAGCTGTCTGCACCATGGGTTTCTGCCGAAGTGGAGACTGGAAGAGACCTTTTCATTCGGACCTGAAAGATAGCCTTGGGATACAAGTTTCTAGACTGTGGCCTTGTATACGTGTGCCCTACATAGTAACCCTCTGTTCCCGACCCAAGGCCGGAGATTCTGCCAGGCTAAAGAAATAGCAGCGATTAAAGGTTTAGAGCGCTGTGTCTTCCAAATGTTAAGTTTTCAGTAAAGGAACTTTCTAATGCTAGGCCTGGTAACTAGTTGTAAATGAAAACCATTCACACAAATGACTAAATTAGTTTTACTCTTCTGCGTGCTGAAGACAAACAGTTTTTCTTGTGCTTCCTTTATTTAGTCTTTAATCATTAGATAGTGTGCCATTAAAGGCATGCGCTGAGATGGGAGGGAGGGCTGCAGAGATGAGAAAGACGGGCTCTGTCCTCGAGGAGCTCACACACTTGGTGTGGGGGACAGGGAAACAGACAATTATAAAACAGTTAGCAAGGGCTGTGAAAAAAACGCAAACCATGTCTATGGCAGTACCGAGGAAAGGTCCCGAAACCACATTGAGTGTGTGTGTGTGTGTGTGTGTGTGTGTGTGTGTGTGTTTACATAATTGGTATCCCCTGACATCAGGGTTTAATATGTACCCTCCCTTCCACATGTTAACTGTCAAAAATGATGAATCGCATTCCCTAGCAGGAAGCCCCAGTGTTCCTTTTACCTGTCTTCTCTCCTTTAGTAGCTCCAGCACCACATTTCCTTTTTATGGACAGACTGATTGGCTAATTGCCATCCTGATGGAAGGGCGAAGAAGGGTGATGTAATTGGGGAGAGCCTGGGAAAAGAGGTTAGAGGAGAGGGTGGTGGGAGTTTATTTGCTAGGGTAGGAGAAGAGGAGAATAGACGCAAATTCACATTAACTGAGTGACTACTATGCCCGAGATTCTCTACGTACCTTAAGCACGCCTCACCGTAACCTTCTCAGGTAGGTGCTGGTAGAGTTCTTATATTAAAAAAAAAGAAAAAGAAAACCCGAGCTTAAAAGTTAATTTGCCCTGTCACTGAGAGGTTAGGCAACTTGTCCAAGGAGGTTTCTGGAGCTGAAAAGCTACCTCCTTATCTGCTCAGAAAGCCTGCAGTTTTGTTACAGAGGAGGTGAAGGTGCCAGTGCCTCTAGTGATGTAAGGCATGGGCATGGGGAACCCAAGATGGGGAAACGAATGCTCCATGCCCCTCCACGGCTGCCCTTCTCCACTGGTGAAATCCTACCCTTCCTCTAAGACTCAGCCAGCCTCAGCGCCAGTTGCCCTAGTAATCCTTCCCAAAGGGAGAGAACACATGGCCCTCTAAATCCACAGCCCGACTGATGCTGCCTCGCAT